AAAATATATGTATTGCAGATCAGACTGAGCACACTTAGGTATACATAGCTGATAGTTCTTCAGCACCGAAAAAAAATCCAGCTCATCAACCAGTAGGTACCCACTCATCGGTTAGCTGCACGATGTAGCATTTTCACATGACAAACAGCAAGGCAAACAACAGAGCTAACAACAATACAGGATTCACTCGCGGACGCTTTATCAATTAGCTGTGCGATTTTTTTTTCGAGAAAACTGGCTCACTGTTGAACCGCCCAATCCCGGGAAGAGCTGTTGGGTACTTGTTCGGGTGGAAGAGGTGCCGTTTTTCCCCAATCAGTCACCATGAAGACAGGGCACTCGAAAAAAGATGTGCTAGAGAGTATATGCTTTCCCGCGTCACACGGCTCACCGACCCGCCAATGGTCGAGCACTTATTGCACTTCTCGAAAAGGTTCCTTGAAATCCGCTGTAATAATAATAGCAAGAGCCCAACAGTGGCTATGCCCAACAATGTAATGGCTTACACAGAGCTGTTGGATGTCCGCGGATAAGTGCTGGTGCATGTCATAGTCTTCCACCACCGATGGCGGTAGGATGAAAATGGGAAGAAGGATGGAGCGGGATGGCATTCCATTCATATGGCGCTGACGGCTACTGAGCTCTTGGTTGCTAAACTGGATCATCATGCAGTGTCCCTTGTGCGGTCTGGGTGTTCGTCAAAATGATGACAGAAAAGTACACGCGGTAGCGTTTAGCCGATACACGACCCTTGTGGGCCATGTAGCCGGTGGCCAAGGCCGCATTGGATGTCGTGGGTCGTGGTCCCCCATGACGGTGCGATACCAGCCAGCTGGCCAGTCCGCCTGCCACCTCTTCTTGGTGGACCGCGCAACGACCTGCGTGAGGGTGCGGACGTCAACCGGGGTCATCTGCTGGGACAGCCCGGCCGCTTCCTTGGCCAGGGCGTCCGCCCTCTCGTTGTCGGCGAGTCCACAGTGGGCTGGGGCCCATTGCAGCTGTATTGTGCTGCCGTCAGCCGTCAGGCGCTACACTTGGGCCGCAGCGCCTCCAGCCATGAGCTGCCTCGATTCAAAGGCGTCAGCAGTTACTCGATCGGCGGAGCGACTCGGCCTCGCCGGCCTACCGGACACTGCGGCCGATCTTGTCGCTCCTTTTCTATCATGTCCTAAATGGGCCACTCTTTTAGAGAGCGTGCGCCGTACAACTCGGTGAGGACCTTGGCCGGCAGAATAGTTTGCTGGGCGGCGACCGGAGCCGGCTCGATCCCTGCTACTACGGCCTGTGCGGGGCTATGCAGCGGTCAGCTGACAGTCGCACGTAGCTACCGCTGGAGCAGCCAGATGGCGGAGAGCGGGATCGTTAGGACAGCGGCTGCGTGCTCCAGTGTTCCGTCCACGCATCCCGATGAACGACGCTGTAGGCAATGATTATCCACATCAGGTCAGCCTGTGGACCTGCATCGTGGGCTACACCCGGGAGCAAAGGCTGTATCAGCCTCACTGTGCCAAATAGTGCTTAATGAGGTCACTGTACGCTTCAGCAAGCACCGAACACTGCTGATCAATTTTCCCTCCTACATTATGTCGGCGACTGCTGCTGCTCCTGGAGTTGGCATTTCGATGATGTGCTATCCTGGGGGCATTGTTCGTTGGCGGCTCGTTGACTATCTCTGTGAGTGGCGTCACTGAAAGAAATAGAGAAAAAAGTATGTCGGTCACACTTTATAGGATAATGTGTGCTTGGCGGTAATCTTTTACTTTTAAGAACAAGCGGCCCTCGCCAAGCATGATCCACAAAGTCATTACGATAGCATGACAAGAACAAGTAAATGTGTTTGTAAAATTGAGGTTTCGGATAGATTTATGTATTGCAAAACTGCCTTTACACAGTGATACTTGATATTAACCTACGTCCTACAAGCACATCTGCATTGAGAGGCAAACGACTTAAAAGTAATAATGAATGTAAATGCGTCAAGATTGCTATTTTACAGTTTGATCAATGACACTCACAAATAGATTGATTCGAATTCGATGACATTAATTATATTGTCTGCGAGCATGCCTTCCAACCATGGCAGGCAGTGCAGTAACTAATCTGGTTTATTGAATACCGACTTTGGCGAGAAAACATAGAAAAAGCAGCAAAGACAAATAACAATGAAGCAAGTTATAAAGCATTACTCACGCTTGGAAGGATCTGGCTAAGGGTGGATGGAACCACAGTGTATAGATGTAACGATGCGTCAATCAGGAACGTTTGCTTGCTCTTCCTGTGGGCTCTTGTAGGTAAATGGTCATCTCCAAAATGCAGCTAAAAAACGAACAATTGTTCAACAAATAACCTTCTACTTGTGACATTTAATAACGTATCAGTTTGTATGCACACCGACACCAATTATTCAACCGAAACTTGATAAGTCCTCAATATGAAACACTTAAAAGCGAAACTTAAATATACAATTCCAACTTTATGCCTTGCTTTATGCCTATTTTATGACAAAACACGTAGGTCTGGGAATAATGCTAATGATACTTTACAGAAAGTCACGTGCTCTTTTCCGTCGCCGTCATTAAGACGAATTTATTTAAGACGGTCCGTCATGAGCGTTGCACTTTTATCCCCTTTCAGAGCAATAAAACCGATTTAACGTTATACTGTTTTTGAGAACAAGTATCCTAGAATACAACAGCATAGGAAATTAGCTCAAATGCTCACCAACTACCGGATATTTATCCGCATACAACTACAACGATCGTAATCTGTTGGATTACACGATCAACAGTTTTAAGTCGTTTGTTGTTATTTTTAGTTATGATATCAACTATTCAGGTGTGAATAAGCGGTAGTTGTGGGGACCATGGTTGTATTCAAAGTTTCAACGAAATGGGACTGTTTATTTCCGAGATATAATGGAAGGGTGCGCACGTGCGCACGTGCAGCGGCACCTCAACATTGAGACAAACACCAGCAATGGTTATAAGACACTTGGGTATATGCAAAGTTTCAGCTAAATCGGGCTGCTAGTTTCCAAGATATGAACAAGGGGTGTGCACGTGCGCACGTGCAGTCGCACCCCTTGCTTGAGGTGTGAGCCAGCAATGGTTGTTAGGCTGTTGCCTGTATACAATATTTGAGCGAAATCGGACGAGTAGTTTCTGAGATACAAAAAAGGGGTGTGCACGTGCGCACGTGCATCGGCACCTCAAAATTGGGACATGTGTTATTGGCAGGTGTGTTATACCTAGCTGGGTGCCAAATCTGGACTCATTCGGTCAAGCCGTTCCCGAGATACTGTCACGCCATTTTCACAAACATCTCTCACGCGCCACGTGCTGGTGCTCCCCCGTTACACCGCATCGGTTCGGCGGATGATCCCCATCATTTTCAATGAATGGGGCTATGCGGCGGTGAAAAAATGGATGTCGTAGGTGAACTGACTCTCGAGTTATAAGCATTTACTTTTAGGGCCGTTGTGGTCATGGCCGGATTTTCTGTGTCCAGTCCATGTATACAGAGGTCTATGGATGAGCCTATCGGTAATAGCGATTTCAGTGTGTGCATTTATTGTTCATAGTGGTGTGAAATGTGGTTGGGGTACGACCGACAACCCGTCGGGGCGAATTTCGCACTGGGGTACTCAAAATTTGAAGAATTTAAGACGTTTCCATGAGTTTTGAAGGTATGGATAAGTTCTAAAAATCCGGTTCTCCTTATCTGGGCCATTAACTCCATACGGTCCAAGAAAGCTGGCACACTACCTTTAAGGGGGGGGGGGGGCACTGCCGACTTTTGGTCCCATTCTTTCCATGCAACGCCCATAGGGCTAATGTTAAAATGCCAAAATCAAAGGGGGCACGGTGCCCGGTGCCCTCCCCGTTCCGCCGCCTATGCTCGGATGTCACCATCCTCATATGCCACCGCGCTTATAAGTGTCGTTCTCCTCGTAAGATGGCTCGATTTCTCAGCCGCGGCGACAATAATGTGCATTGTGCAAGACACGTGTCACAGTTCATAGCGGACCGTGGTCGGTATTAATAAAGTAATCTCGGGTCAGGCAGCAGCTGCGGGGAACGGACGAGTGATCGCGCCGGTCTGCAGAACCTCCTAGCCGAACAATTCAGCGACCACAAGTCGGGCTCAATCTATTGAGCCGGAGCTACAATAAGCTGTAGGGGTTCTGGCGATATGACATATCATGCAATGGGTCTAATTGGGCTGACACGAGTGTTAATTGACTGCGCTGCCTTGATGACAGAAATAGCAGCTGGTGGCTGGTGCGACAGCCAAAGCCTTCCATTCACTGAGTTATTTTAGTCATGGCATTCTAGCGTTCTTTTCTGAGTCCGAAAAGTCTCATTAGTGCCATCAGCCATGGCCATTGGCCAATAAATGGACATTGAACACTCCATCATGACAGGATATTTTGTTACGTAACCAGTGCGATCTTCAGCAACAGCAGGGGCAAATAAAACCGTCTGAACCGATAATTTCTCGACATAAATCAAAGCTGAGTCAAATACGTCTTCTGAAAAATCTCCCACAGAAGGCAGCCTCGACGCAGAATCGTGCAGTGAATGTCAATCGGGTGGCTGTAGAAATAAGTTGATAAATCTTCCAGCCCGTTGTCGTCAGTTGTGCTTTTCTTCTGCGTGCGTTGCTATATTTTCTCTGAACGTCCGAACGAGGAATCCGTCAGCGCCCGCAACGGAGATTGACAACATTCTCAGAAAACGACAAAACGGAAAATGGGTACCGATTTGCTTTTTGCAACACACCATCTTCTTGTCCGGTTACAACCGTCGAACATCGGGCGTATACTGAGTAGGTCTCCAGCGCTTATCCCCACAAACGTACACTCGGACAGGGCATTGGTGTGCTGTGTGCAAGGTATGATAAACATATAACAGATTTCCTAATTATGCTCCCAATTATGAATTCGCCACTCAGTATCAAATAGTATCAAATAGGACGCGTCCCAGCAAAATGTGACTTACCGTTATCCGTGTCACGTTTCTCCAAACAGTCTTGGTTTCGCCATCCAGGTAGCGACCTTGCCCGACACTCCCGTGGTCACCTTGTCGGAACAACACGCACTGGCCTCTGCGTGACTGACTGTCAAACTCCGCGGCTTCCAGTCCTGTGGGACTACAATACAAGTCCTCCGCAGCGAACACGCACACGTAGTCTCACGCCACACCGACATCCTTTGATGCAGTGCGATGACACTGCAGGCACACCAAACAATCGGGCCGGCGGAGCTGAAAGTCTACCACCGCAACGGAGACTCTTCTTTCTGCAATGCCCGCACAGCCGCAGGCGCTGGCCGCCTCGCCTCGCACCAATGCGGTCATACGAGCCGCCAGTCAGGTCACGTGATCCATGCCCTGGGGGCTCATCTGACGCAGCGCTCGGGGGCGGGGAGGGATGGGGGAGAGAGGGGGAGGGAGGACGGCAGAGACGACAGAGGGTCGACGACGCATGGGATCTGGAATGTGTGTGTTATTCCAAAACGCATTCAATTAGCGACCAAACGTATGTAAGGAATATGAATATTGCTTATTGTTGCGAAAGCTAGTTATTAGCCGTTTTCACGACAGCCATCTGGTACACATTTGGTCACATCTGGGACAGATTAGGTGCAGATTTGGTCAAATCACGTTCAGTGTGTCTCTTAGCAGCTATCAGCTAGGGTTGCACTTATTGCTTCTTATATGCCTGCTTTGTCATATTATCAGAGAGCATCATCGATTAAAACACTGAAATAAATTCATAAAATGAAGATATTTGCTTTGGTCAAATCAGGTGCATTCGCCGGATAGCCCGTCGTGAAAACGGCTATTACCATATCAGCTTCTACTTCGACGTGGCTACATTCAATGAAAAATAAATGCAAAATCATATGCCCACAGCTGAAAGGCAGAAGTTTAGGCAGAACTCTTTGCTCGATAACATCAAACATTCGTGTGTTTACATTAGTTTGACGTTCGTTTCTGCGAGTTCCACAAATATTCCGAGTGGGTCGAGCGAGCCCTCTCGGCTGGAGCTGCCGACCCTGATATTGATCAGCGTTACTGCCGGATCAGCGTTACTCTCGCGTCTCGCGGTTCCGTCTGACGGGCGCACATATAGCGGCCGTCCGGCGGTTATTGGCCCGGGTTATACGATAGGGGCCATCAGGTCGGATTGCAGCCTGTTGCTCAGAGTCGACAGCGGCAAGGGTTGTTCGTGGCAGGCCTGGATGAGATAACCCTCCTTGGGAGGGGGTATTAGGTACTCCAAAGATAAAACACGAGAGAGAGACAGAGAGAGAGAGGGAGAGAGAGAGAGGGAGAGAGAGAGAGGGAGAGAAAGAGAGAAAGAGAGAGAGAGAGAGAGAGAGAGAGAGAGAGAGAGAGAGAGAGAGAGAGAGAGAGAGAGAGAGAGAGAGAGAGAGAGAGAGAGAGAGAGAGAGAGAGAGAGAGAGAGAGAGAGAGAGAGAGAGAGAGAGAGAGAGAGAGAGAGAGAGAGAGAGAGATTGAGGGAGAAGAGCGAAAGAGACAGAAACAGAAACGGAGACAGGGCAACCCTACGATAATATCGAGAGGACGTTCCGAGACGTTCATTTCTATATTTTGATTTTTTTACCTAAGCATAGATTTACGGGGTGAGCGACCCATGGCAGAGGCATGTTGAGCGTCGGCAGATAATAAAAACCCGTGGATCGGTCGGTTGAAGTCGAATAGCGGACGGCAGGAAAGAAGTTGTTCGGAGGGGAAGAGGAGTCGTCTGATAGTTTGAGGAGTAAATTGGGGAGGGACCAAACGGGTCAATATATTTATTTTTTACCGGGCTTGGCACTTGCTGCCTCCTCCCCCCCCCCCCCCTGGACGGACCTGAGTCAGTGTTCCGAACTCATCTTGATTCTAGCGACAAAGCCGCGCTTATTTGTCTCCCCACGCACAGCGGTGCCTCTGAGAGCGCTCCCTGCCACAGCTGCTGGCAATGTTGGCACATGAAGCTCTCCCGCGCCGGCTGCTGAAAGCCTTATGAGATCATCTGACAGAGAGGAGACCGCATTTGAGGTCTCAGATATATGAACTGATACAGCTGGCAGACTGACGTCGCGACTGCTTTTGTGATTGCAAAGCCCCGTGAGGATTAGCGGATTAATTTCGTTACCGGTTTTTGGGACGCCTTGCCGCCTTCGACGGAATAGAAGAGGCGGGAGTTTAGAATTAAGGCCCACAGACAAGCACCACAATGCCTGGACTCGCAGCGTCTCTGTTCATTTTAGCGCCCCAGTGTTTGCATCATCATCTGGTCATTAACGGGGCTCTACACAGTTGAGCGTACTGCGCAGACTGCACTCAACCACAGTCAGACACCTAGTGGCTGCCGATCCAAGCAGCAGTTCCTTCCCGCGCCGGCAGTTATTAGTGGTCGCCGAAAGTGTACAGCCATGTGACCGACATACTTCGCGATCTGAACTGGCTAAGCGCAGCAAATCTGGCCCTGTACCATCGGATATGTAGCGTGCATAGAGTGATAGTGTCTAGTCAGCCAACCAGTGTCGCTTGTACGCTCGAGACCCTCGACCATGGTCACGGTACTCGTCATTCTGGTCGTTTGCGACTACCACGCATTCGAACAGAGGCAGGCCGCAGACAGCTGGTGCACAGCGGTGTCAACTCGTACAACGATTTTATCGCAACATATGACGGGCGGACTCGTTTAAAGACGGCAGTGACTCGTTATTTACTGCATGATCAGCGTTAGACTGGACTGTTTTATGCATGTATGAGTGTGTGTTTACTTCATCCGTCCATCTTTTTATCTATTGACATGCGTTAGTGAAAAGCCGCGTGCGCGGATTTAACGTGAATACATGAATTGAATTGAATTCAGGCCAAACGGAAAAGCACGATAAAAGCACGACACCTGCAAAAAGGAACGAAAAGCATCGTGGCTGCTAGGTGACCGGTGCCAGCCAGGCTTCTATGTTGACATACATTATGATGGCTAGTCAGTTAAGCTATGCTGCAACGTGAAGCGAGGTCGAGCAATGAAGACCATCCAATGCATAGATAGATCGATGTAACCGCACACAGGGCACAGCTGTCGCCCAGGCTAGGAAACAGCATTCGTTATTCAGCCCAGTATGCTCCACCCCATACAGTCGCCAGTAAACGCGTGTAAAATGTATTGAAGCCGCACTGCATGTAATCACACTAGCCTATTGCCACCATCCGAACACGAATCAGGCTGATCACGCGAAAACCACGCTCAAAATATAAACGACAGCATAAATGACAAGTATGAATCGATAAAATAATTCACGTATGGGTTAATGTTTGATTACGAGGCGTTCGGGGGCGGCCGAAGACGACCGAATACCCTGGTCGGTGCCGGCGCACCGCCGTCCATTGGGGAATGTGAGCGCGCGCGCAGTGTGTGTGTGTGATCGGGGTGCAGTGGTCCGCGGGGCAGCGGCCGGACGGCGCACCGCCGCCGGCCCCTGCCGCTATCACAACCTGGGCACACGCCCGCCGCGCGTGTGTGCGTGCTTTGATCGGTCACAGCGCCGCCCGCCGTGACTGTGGAGGGTTAGTCGGCGCCCGGGCTGGCTCTCCCACCCCTCCCACCCGGCACACGAGGCTCCGTCCCGGGCGGCGGCCCGCGCCCCACACACGGAAGACCGGCTCCACAGCGGCGCCACCCGACAGCAGCACCCACCAGCCCGCTCACAATCCAAATCAGAACACCCCAATCAAGCAGGCGCGCGCGGCGCCAGCGGCAGAGGACGATCCCCACTCCCCGCCGCGCGACACGCACCAACAAAACAGATAAACTCATTACAAATAGAAGCTACATAACTCGCGCCACGCGCACCGTTCATATCGCATTGATTTGGCATCATGCACGACCGCCGGTAGCGTCCTCTTTCACACAATTGTTCCCTCACGCAGTCTATGGTCTCGAGGCCAGTAGCGCGTCCATGGCGGTCGCACACTACTGCTTCTTGCTGTCCACATTGGGGATGTAGTCGCGCGCCATCAGACACGCGAACACGGTCATCACCATCTTGGGTTTCACCTCGGTGATGTCTTCGGGCAGCGCGTAGATCCGCGAGCCGATCTTCCGCGCCATCGAGAGCGCGTACTTGGCGTTGGCCAGGTTCTCCTGCGAGCGGAACGGGGGCGAAACGTCAGGTGTTTTCTACATATAACCAGGGCAATGCCATCTAGCTATAGCTACAGAATCTCAACTAAAAACAACCGTATATTGAACGAAAGCGACTAATTGCGTCCCAGTTTTCCAGACTCGTACTTGTAACTTGCGTGTACGCAATATCTCTCTGCAGATCCTGGCGGGGAGCGTCCCGCCGGCTCAATCCAATCCTCCCTCCCCATCAGTCAGCCCCTCCCCGCTGAGTCCCCGCGCGGTGATCTCACCTCCTCTGATCCGCCCTGCCGCACCAGCTCGTAGTTGATGGTGCCCGGCCGGATGGCGTCCACTAGGTCAATGACCGCGTGCGCCGTCGCCAGGGACGGGTCCTGCGGGGTGACACGGGGTGACCGGTCAGGGCTTCATAGGCGAAGTGAGAAAAGAATTGGTGGAAAACATTGCCGAAAAAAACGTAGGTGAGGGAGAGCTGTTAACAAGCTTGGCTGAATAATGTACTATCTAATGATGGTACCTTGTCGGATAATTATTAGAAAACGTATTAAAGAATGGGCACATGCGATCTTCATATTGATACCGTACCTACAAAATTCGCAATGCCAGCCCAGAACATCTGTTCACATCTCAACACATTCTCCCCACCGCTCCCCGGTACTGACCTGGAAGCTCCGGACGCGGGAGGTCTTTCCTCCGGCCTGCAGTTTTTCGTTGACCCACTCGATGATCTCACGGTCGACGATGGGGTTCTCCGAGGAGGCCAGCTGGGAGAGCACCGTCAGAGTGTAGGCGCGCATCAGCTGCCAGATAAGCGCTGAAACAGACGGGGAGCGGCTGTCAGGGGGAGGTACTGGGGTGGGAGGACGTAGGGCTCACGAGAGGTGATGGCAACTATGGTGGACGAGCTCAACACATGAACAATCTGACAATATGAACGACGTAGTCAGCAGATAAGATGCATAACAAATCCGCGAGCCTGGCTTATTTCCCCTAGTCTTTTTGTGAAGGCAGTACGTCGGGACTCTTAGCTTACCAAGTACGCTGGCTAACTGTCCCCCTTCAAGCCCGGAGACTCCACCTACCGAGCGTTAGCGTCTGGTTGCCGTCACTCAGGTCCTGGCCAGCGATTCCGACCAACGAAAACTTGAGCTCCTTGCCCAGCTCCACGGCGTAGTTGCAGTTCTCCAGCTTCTCCATGAACTTGCGCAGCTTGCTGAACTTCCTGTAAGAGACGCAGAAAGTGGTGTTAAATGACGAGACGGAACGACGAAAATGATGCAGCGTAACTAGGACGGCCTAAGTAAAAATGTATCACCAGGACATCCACTCAAGACCGACATGACGTGTGACACCTTTACAACTTAGCCTTATCATTCTCACGACAACCCTAATCAACCACCCTACTCCCAGCCCCATCCTTTCCACGGTCCCGTCCGATGCCGTACTTGTGGACGCGGTTCCAGTTGACGATGCCCGGCTGGATGATGTCGTACAGCTGGAAGATGATGAGCCCGTCGGCCAGGTCCGAGTACAGCCAGTTGACGTACGGCGACACGCCCATGCTGTTCATCCAGTTGCGGTACGTCTTCTCCTCGCGCGTCTCCTCGATGTTCTCCAGACCCTGAACATGAGGGATGGAGAGGTCAGGTCAGGAAAAGTACACGAGTCAGTGTACGGACCAGATGACAATGTGATACTCTCCCAGCCTGGCAGGAAAGCCGGAGCCGGATATTTGATATTTCTAACCGGCTTCGAGTCCAAACATTAGTCTAGTACTTTAGATATTCAGGTTTTAGTAGGGTCCACAAGATCAACGTTGTTAGCAGCCTTTATGCTATTATTCAGTGCGTCCAATACTCTGATATCCGTCACACACTGTCACATTCCCCTACCAGCTCCCACCCCACAGCTGCTTGTTGTCTTGGTCAGCTCCTTACCTCCAGGTCCATGTTGTCGGGCTTATCCATGCCCGGGTGGTTGTTGAACAGGTTAGCCACGAACGCCAGGTTGAGCTTGTAGTTGCCGTCAACCACATCCTGTGGCGATACAAACGCTCGGCAGCCGAGCTTGTCCGCCTGCTGCAGCATGATCTCGGCCCGAGTCAGGTGGTTCGGCTCCTGGCGGCAGAGACAGAAAACTGTGGTTAGACGGAGGGCCGATAGGTAGCAGTGGTGCACCGGGAGGACAGCGTAGCTGCGGAGGAAATAATCCACCACTGAGGCATTTCCCGAGCGTAACGCAATACCCTAGCGGCCGTAAAAGCCGGAAAGGGTTAGAGGCCGGCGCTCGACAGCGAAATCACTCGTTTCTACTGTCCATCAGCCGGCCATGGTCTGGAGCGCAGAGGATCCAGACAGAGGCAATAGTCATGCGCGGCTGCTTCGTACTGTGCTTAAGATTCGGGGAATATTAAGCGCAGTGCGGTAATCTGGTGCGATTGTCTCCGCCACACCGCTTCGACGGATCCGGGCCACATATTGTCTAAGAGGGAACCACGCGGCCTGTCGGAGCGTATTTAATTCAGGGTGACAGAGCTCACTGAAACTTCAGCGAGACAGCCAGACAGGGGAAGTACCCGAACATCCGGCTCACAGGAATAGAACCAGATTAAATTTGAAATACCGAATCCCAGATTTGCAGTCAGCTTCATACGGGACTGCTCCCATTGCTGTTCATTATCAATCATTGAACGCACGATCGTAGAGAGTTAATAAGAAGCCGAAGCATCGCAATATCAATCGCAAACTTTCGCAAAATTACGGTGGCTCAGCCAGCCAGCATTATATAAGGCAGCCTCGGAATGTCCCAGCGGCTAAACTCACGTGGAGTCCCTCCATGGTGACGCCGGCCTCGCGGTCGGCGATCTGGTTCAGCAGGTGCAGGTACGCCTCAGAGTCCTTGATGTCTGACGTGAAGTTGTTCACCCGCCTGTGTCAGAGGGCAGAGCGGTGTCAGCACGGACCGTCATAGCGAAACTTATGCAGGGAGCGAGTCAGAGATAGGAGGAGCTTGCCTAATGGTATCAACAAAGCGAATAAAGTTTAGATTCCGTTCTACTCTATTCCATACGTCCCATTATCCGGTGTCCAATTCCGTTTCACCCTGTTCACTCTAATCATGTGTCCCATCCAATCCCTCGTGTCGTGTTCTGTTCGCCCCGTACCATCCCCTCCTACCGTCCCGTCCCGTTCCATCCCTCTCCGTCCCGTGCCGTGTCCCACCCAGTCCCCTCTTCCTTACCTGTTGACGCCGGCCCTCTCCAGGTGGTAGTTGATCCACCTGAGCAGGATCTGCTCCGGCGACAGCTTCATCAGCTCCTCCAGCTTCTCGTCACCCTGCAGCAGGCTGGCCAGGCCCGGACAGTGCTCCAGCGTGATCTGGTTGAACAGACCAATCTGCAGAGAGGAGAAGGGACGTCAGAGCTGCGGTACACAGGCCGCGCCTGGCAGAAACGTAGGAACACAACGGGAATGCTATTTACGGCACTGACGTCATGGTGGTAAAACGAATAATACATCAAATATTTATGAAAAGCGGAGAATATGGCTATCTGTCACGGCATATTCCCCCATGTATATTCACAACTCCGTGACACCCACAAATGACAGGCCAGTTACATCGTGTGACAAATAAGGTGCATACCAGAATGAACCCTGACCTTTCAGTGTGCGCCGGCAACACTGAAAGCCATCGAGGCACAAACACATTCCCCTCATTTGACGATCTCTTTACCCATTACCTAATCCCCCATCACCAACAATAGGATTCGTTTCTCCGTGTGCGGATTTAGATCCCAGTTCGCACGGAAAGCCAGCCCAGCCCACGAGTCCCTTCAGAACTTTAACAGATAAGGAAGTCCCCGAGTGTGAAACCTGACGCGATAATCTCCCACACGCGCCCAGAGAGTCGGACGGGGGCGGACACTTTTCTCAGTGGCAGGGTGACACTGCAGACCCCACGACCTTTCTAACGGTCACAAACACGGAACAGGAGCGGCCAGCAGCGCTGGACTCTGCGGCGCCCCGCCCGGCCGGCATTATCCCGCGCCGAGAAAAGGTCACAGCAGAGCCTCAGGGTATTTGTGGGACGTGAATATTGGTCACGGTGCCATACAAACGGTACCATACAACCCTGATTTAACAGCAGCCAGCCAAATGCAGCTCACTGTGAGTTTAGTAATCTTAGTAGCAGAGCCCATAACAAGGGTAAGTCCGTCATAAAGATAGTCATGTATCTGTCACTCTATCTCACTCGACAATCACCCTTACAATCGTTATGCTTAACTGCATCTCTGCTATAAATGCAGCCTGGCCATGGCACACCAGAATCGTCCCACTTTCTGCAGGTCTCAAACACAGCCATTACGCTACCCTCATGTTCCTTTCTCTATCTCCTCTGTCACCTTGCTCCCCTCATGCCTTCTCCTCTGCCCCGTATCCACCCCATAGATCTTCCTCCCCTCACCCTCACTTACCCTGATGATCTGCCAGAGCAGCCCGAGAACCAGGTGGGGCTTTCCCTTGGCCAGGTCATGCGCGTCGATGTTGATGACATTGCAGCCGATGGACTGAGCCGAGAACAGGCCCAGTGTCAGGTTCTCGTGCTTGGTGTACAGCGTGAGACCCTTCTTGTTGATGGCCCGCTCGTCGATCGTGTCCGGGCAGGAGTGGTTGATGATTTTGCTGTTGGACAGAAGTGAACGTAGATGGTTAGTGTTTGAGCTGCTGAGGTTCATGGAAATGGAAATGACAGCGATGCGAATGGACATCCGTTAGGAAGCTATTCACTTTCAGCATTCACGTACTATGGAGACTGCGCTAGGAAAGTAAGCTTAATGCTTCATAAATTTATAAATATCTCTTGACATCGAACACCATGGCGACTGATTCATTCCACATTATCAGAACATCATATAATGTCAAGTATTCAGTAGCCTGTTCTTATCTCATGTCCGTCTCCCTCCTCAACAGCCTGTATTTCATTCTGCTTATCTTATCTGTCGTTTCCTCAGACAGCCCGGGAGCACGACCGGTCGGACCATCGACAGTCAGTCGGCGCGATACGGGGAACAGACAGGTCAGGGGATGACACACCCAGTGGTCACACTCATCACACATCACCCGGGGTCACACATACTAATCACATATCACCTCACACACACTCATCACACACACTGCCGCGTTGATAGCCTATCGACGCTGCTAGGACCGGCCGGGAGCCCACGCATAGCTGGGATATGAGGGCAGCAGGGGAGGAGTCGGGGGTGGGAGACACGGGGAGACAGCAGCTGTGTCATTTTGACAGTGCGGCGGCTCCCTTTTGATAGAACACCCGACTCGGCGTGACGTCTGTCTGTGACCAGACCACCCGGAGCGGCTGCGATCTGTGTTGGGCAATGCTTTCTGGGATACATCTCGATTGTTGGTAACTCGGGCAATATAGAAGCAGCCAGAGACGGAAAGAATGACCACAGAGATATTCGTAACATGAGAGGGTAAAAAAGAGGACAGGAAATGCTGACTGAATGACTGAGTAAGGGGAACCAAGAGACAAGTGTGGTGAAGATAAAAAACATGAATGCACATAGCCGTGAACGATGTGATATCCCCGATATGGCGACTTTACGACTGAGATACAAGAGAAGCGTGCAAAACCAATTTGTTATCCGCAGACAAAAGTCGTAAATCATTCATCCTGCATAAGAGATCCGAAAGTTCTGCAGAGGATAAAACAAGCAGCCCACAGATAATTCACAGCTGTGTTGTCAAGCTGCCTTTCGAATCCCAACTATTCCTGAAGACCCCACCCGACTCTTTTGACCCAGCCCTGACCTTCCACCCACGTGACCAACTCACCAGAGGAGGATGCCGTCTCGGACCTTGTCGTACAGCGTCTATGACCTGACCTTGACCTCTGCCCACGTGACCGACTCACCAGAGGAGGATGCCGTCTCGGACCTTGTCGTACAGCGTCTTGCCCTCGGGGTCGATGGGCAGGATGTGCGCCAGGTCCGGGTCGTGGCCCAGGTTGGAGTTGATCCAGTCGGAGAAGGCAATCTGTTCCTCCAGCCGCACAGAGTGGGTGGTGCCTGAAACACACAACACGCACCAGTCAGACGAGAAAACGCCACACCGACAGCTTGGCTGGAGAGAGATTATTAGGTCTCGGTTAACACCTTAACATCAGTATCAAAATACCTATATGGCTGCCAGCAGCACCAAAATGACTACAAACACCGTTAAGGCAGCGCAATGCGTATTGACCTTCGAACCGGAACTGGGCCAAGTCATCCGGCTTCTGTGCCTGATGAACCGCGTTTCAGCGAGGCTGCAGCGCAGCGCTGCAACAGCCTGCAAAGTGCTCAACCACTGCACAACAACAGCAAACAGCCAGTCAGGCCGCCCTCTGCAGCCTGAAATACCCAGCCACGCTAAATAAATGATTGGCGGTGATTTATGTAGTGAGCACGGCCGTTATGAATCGTTGGATTTCCGGCGTAGCATCCGTCCGGACGTGTTTACACACCATAAACAGGCACCAGATAACCGGGATGCCACGCCGACCACCAACCCTGCCCGGTGATGAGTTATTGCCAAGCCGGAGGACTATCTAAAAGCCACCCCATCCAACGCCAGCGATCACAGTCACGGGTTTATCCGGCGCTCATGGTGATTGGGCTCCCTGACGGCAGCAGATAGATTGGAAACAAACGGCCCAATCTGAGCGGCATCGGTCACCGGCCGCCCGCGGGGACGCGCGCCGTGCCACCGGGCCGTTCCGGCTGTCCAGGCCGCCGCGTCCGATGCAAGTTAAACAGTGCCGGGTCGGCAGCGACCGGTGAGACACTCGCCGCGCCGAGCTCGACCGCCCGCGACGGCCGTTTCCGGGACCATGAGCCCCAGAGGTCCCCACGGCACCCTACACGCGCCGCAGTCGGAAGCGATGGTCGTGTAGCGATCCGACCTGTCCCCAGCCACCTCCGACACAAAGTTCAGAGTGGTGCTGGTTTAATCTGGATCAGACAGCAGCTCCGTGGCAGCTCCGTTACTCTACAGTCAGGACAGACGCCGCCGTGGGACTCTATCGCTGTCCGACTTCCGTTTCCTCAGGACAGCGTCTTCTTGTATACCACCCTCTGCGAACTTACTCAATGATCAAATAACCTCTCTAGTCCCAGCAACAGTAAGTGAAAGAGTGAATATCTCTGAATCGATCCCTCTCTATCACTTGGGCAGTGATACAGAGTGGCAATACTCTGTCTAGACTACCTTCTGTCTTTCCTAAATAAGGCTGATTCGATTCCACCAGACCTCAGCCGAACAGCGTGGAAGATAGCCTCCTAGGACCGGAACGGCAGCGGTCGGCGTCCTGGCCGCGGGCCGGAAACGTCCCGTCTGCGCCGATACGGTCCGTATCGGGACACGTGCGCCGGCCGACCTCCGACGGGCCATATATGGGTGTCACCGCCGCAGTCGCTGCTTCTGATACACTTGCCCGAGCGACGCATCGTCGGAACCTAGCGCTTTTCTCCGGCTCAAAGTCGCATTGCTAAAATGGGCACAGTCCCCAATAATGCCATGAGAAGTTAATCAAACCATAATGGCTGTGGTGTTATAAAAAAATGAGCATATGTGTCGAAACTAAGTTAAATTTACGTCATGGCTGTTCGAACTGCGCTTTACAACTGTAGTATTTCATAATCACACTATCGCAGGTATTCAACTATCGCCGTAAGTGTCAACGGTGCAGTCGCCGGTACTGTGCCAGTATTGTACTCTGAAGTGCTGCAGCAAACGTTGGCAAATACTCACTTTCGCTGGAGTCGGTATGAGTGCATCTGAAGCCCTTTGTGTTCCCTCCAATCAGTGTGCATAACTTATGGACAATCTTCCCACCTCATCCATGTAAGCTCCACAAAGTTAGCCTGAGCTCAGGCCCCCTGAGACCAGTGCTGCCAGGTAAGCAGAGTTCCGATCAAATCAAATCACTTTCCGTCTACCTGCCATCCCTTATTCCTCTCACCCCAACTTCGCATTTAGTGGCCGCCCAGACTGACCCAAGGGAAATTGTCAGCCGGCCGCGGCCAAACAGGTGGTATGGCTTCCTGATGACCTGGGATTGCCTTCATACCCAGGGCTCTCGCTTGGCCCGTGCCCTCCCGGACCCAAGGCTCTCCTGACACCACCGCAGCCACCCCTGTCCCTCTTCCCAATAGCAGATCGGTCGGCGGCACGAGTCACCGACACCCTATGGCTGTAAACAGGCTCAGAGATCGAGTCCAGGACGATGCCGCGCGCGCCGGCTCATCACGGACAGTCACGAAAACCGTTACGGATATCATAGACACGGTCACGGACATGGTCACGGGCAGTCACAGACACGGTCACGGGCTGTCACAGGCTTGGTCACGGCCTGTCACAGGCTCGGTCACGGACAGTCATGAATTGTCACGGACTCAGTCACGGACGAGCCGGTCCCGGTGCTGGGCACACGGCACTGACCTGAACGGGCCACAGACGGGCAAAGGAAGAGAAGCTGAACACTAGTGGACAGCCTCGGAAAGTGGGAACTGCAGTGAGGACATAAAATTGTGAATGGCTTCCTGTTTTAACGAACAAATACGAAAGCTCCTGGGCGGTAACCAAATATGGTATCATACACAAATGCCGTCAAATTTCCCAGCCAGGACAGTGCCTGCTAATGCACAAACAGCTGAGCGCCGTTCAAAACACTGCCAATCGCAGCCAACTTTTCACTTTCAGCATCACCACCCGGCGCTGCCGCCAGCGCCGGCGTCCAGTCGGGCAGATAAGTGCCAACCGGTTCCCGGCATTTGCATGGTTCGCGGCAGCGGTGGACGGCGTGCCCAACCGGCAACCAGCTGTTCTCGCGGCCTATGGACGCCCCAATGGAGGGCCGATAGGGGCGGGTGCACCGGCCGGCGCGCGGCGGAGCGGTGGGGTGGCGGGCAACCCGTGCGGGGCGACCGTATTTGGAAGCCGGCGGCGCTGGCCGAGCCCACTGCGCTCAGTGGTCCCATATGAAGGTCGGTCAGTGACCAGCGCTCGACGGACCACCGTTGACAGTACGTGCCGGAGCGTCACATCAGTGCGGTTGCCAGGAGCCAGCAATCTCCAGTTCAACGAGAGTGGCACTCCGTACGACAGCTAGTCCATTTGTTCTGATCGTCTGCAGACAGCATTTGAATTCCAACGCACGATCGCCGCCGGGTTGGTAACAGAGAACCAACTGTCAGCGCCACCCGTCATCAGCCTGGAACTCTCCTACCACGGACGCTCCCTACCTACCACCCCCTCCATCACCCCCTACCACTGCGCGGCACCCTGGCTGCCACACCGTCAGCGGCGCAGCGGCCACGGCTACATTCCTCGCCACCGACGCTCGATCGCGGCAGCGATTGTGCCATAACCGGCGCGGGCTGCTTTCCGGCCAGTGAGGAAACTGAGCGCCGTCAGCCGGCGGTGCAGTGCGAGACACTGGGCGGGGGCGGAGGGAGGAGAGTCTCAACAGACCTGTGCAGCGAGGTGAGCCGAGCGGATTTGGTTCAGCCGTGAGATAATATACAGTGGCTCACAGCAACAACGGATGGGCGGACGCGGGTATACACCGGACAAGTCCTGGGGGCGGGCTGAACCCAAAAGGGGCGGGACGGCTGGTGACGCTGAGACACTATGGACGGCCCGGCTGGTGACACCAGGACACCACTGGTGACGTCAGCAAGTCACTCACCCTCTGAGGAGGCGTGCGACATGCCGCCCAGCGTCTCCAGGTTCTCCCGCTTCGACACCACCTTCTTGAACGTGGTGGCGACATCCTTGGACTTGAGGTCGACACACAGCTGTGGAGAAAACGCCAGATGAATCACTCATATCAACAGATCAGTCACTCACGTCAACAGACAACAAAGCAGTGATTCACATCAACCCACTAGACAGTCAACAGTTGACAACATGAACAGCTTGGACGTCAACATAAATATCAACAAAACTCCCTGGGCCGTGTCTAGTAATCATCGCTCCACTCGATGCTACTAGTTAGGCTGACCGACGGACAAATATGGACCGGCAGACCGTCTCGGGCCTCGGCTCTGTCACAGTTCGTGCCAGTGATGGACAAATCAATTAGCCGCGCTGACACCGTGAGGGAGTCGGGATCGCAACAGGTCCGTCCGTCGTCTGGATGGGCGGGGGGGGGGGGGGGGAGGAGGGGGGGGCGAGTCGGGGGCCGGCGGTAGGGACAAACCAGTAACAGGGTACCGTGGGGATACTGAGGCACAATGAGGGCACAGGGGTAGTGTGGGGGACATAGGAGGGAATACCGTACAACGAGCGGTGAAGACATGGGAGCTGAAAGCCTAGAGTCGGCAGTGAGGACACATAAGTTGGACAACATTGGGCCAGCTGTCGGCCGAGCATAAAGGGCCAGACGTCGGTCAGCTGCAGACATTGTCGATCCGACCGTCTTCCATTCCAGTCACGGCCGGCGCCGCTGGCTGCACGTCAGCAACAGACCCATACCTCCGGTAATGTGGAGGGCGGTGCACAACCCCTCGTCTCCGTACGGTCAATGCCAGTCATGCTGCCATCAAGACTCGTAGGAGAGAAGAGGACAGGGTGAGAGGTCATCAGGTGGGATCCGGTAGGACGCTCAGGTCACAGGTCATCGCCCGGCGGCCCGCCCCGGGGCGGGACACGGAGAGACAGATCGCCGACACGACCCGCGTGCTCCGCCGTGGGAGTGACGCTGGGAGCCAGTCACGCGCGACAAGGGACTCCCGGGGAGACGAGACGCATCTTCAGCGCGTTTATGAGACGCGGATGCGGGGATGAGGGTGCACTCACTAACGCAGACGAGCTGAACACCCGTCTAATTATGTAGACACATTTCTTGTCAGTGTGCCACGTGACAAGGTAGATGGGGCTCGCCGTTGGAGGAAAATTGACAAATTACTGCGCATATACCGGTATCGATGACTGGCACTCGACACACGGAACTAGCGACAATCGCGGCCACTTATTAATGTTTATTAACCGAAGGGCACCGGCCGATGAATGGTCAATATGGCACATATTGGCAATTTGTGACGCCATTTCCACGGCAAACAAACCGCTGCAATCTAGGGAATGAGCACCTACATAAGCAAGATGCAGTGCCAAGGAAGCGGATTAGAATTTAAACATTACAAACAGCCGATACCCCCGATGCCAGTCGCGATCCCACCGCCTAGATACTGACCACAGTGACACATTACAAGTAAACGTTTCGAGGTAGAACATATGACAGGTAAAAAGAAGAGAAAAAATGCTCGAACGCAATCAGTTAGTTTCTTTATTATTCTCAGCGTAAGTGCTGTGTAAGGCAGGCACTATCCACCCAACCTTCCCGGTACCTCCCACTCCCAGCCCGTCCGACTTACGCCCTGGAACTCGTGGAAGGAGAGCTTGCCGTCCTTGTGGCTGCGGTCGTACTGGTCGATCATCTGCCGCACCTGCCACTGAGGGATCTTGAAGCCGACCAGGTCCAGCGCCGATTTGAGCTCAGACAGGTCGATGTAGCCGTTTCCATCTTTGTCTATCTGTGGGTGGAGAGACAGGGACATGCTCAGAAATCACTCACTCATACGGAGAGAAAGGGTGTTACGATAGCTGTCTTTATTATACTGGGTGAGTTACCTATTAAGGCGAGACAGACGGGAGCCGTAGGTCTATTTCTGGCCAGAACGGGTTAATACTTCTCGGGAGAAACAGACAAGAATGCTGATATGACAGGAAAGGTTAGCTGTAGGTATTATTATTCCCTTCTGAGGAAGCGTGTTAATTTGAAGGTGGCATGTGCATGGAAAGTACCTGCTAGGCAGGATAAAATCGCGTTTCATAAAGATCATGGAAATGAAAAAAAAACGTTCCACATATCAATTCGTAGAGCAGACGCAATGTGTGTCCATTCTCAGAGCGAAGGCGGTGTTATTTCTACATAAAGAGAAGGGAGTATCTAGTGATCGAACACTGTGCAAACGCAACTACGGTAACCAGCGCCTGTCCATGCTACATAAAAATCCTCTCACAGCCGGCACACCGTTCCCAGCGTGAGGTGTAAACAGAGGCGCCTTTCGGTTCCCCGAGGAGCGTGTCGCAATGTGAGACGATCCGCCGCAGGCCGCGTGACTCCGAGTCGACGACGCGTGACTCGTGAGTCGACGACGCGTGACCGAGCCCTCCGAAGGCCGCTGGGAACGTGCTACGTCATCTGTCCTCCACTGACGTCATCATCCATCATCTGACCACCCGCTTACGCATCGAGCCCATCCGCGTGAAAGTAGTCCGCACTGGATTATCACGCACTTCATGGTGACCAGATAAACCGTCTGAAGGCTCGCCGTGGTCAGTCCACCGGAACTGCGTCATCTTTGGCTGACGGAACGGACCGTGGAGCGTGGCCATGAGACCATATCGCGGTCATTTTCGCGCTAACGTCGACAAGCCGCCACTGATTGGCACCCAATGACGTCATCACATTGCGATAGATGTGTTTGGGGCCGGTCACCATTAGCGGGCTGGTCGGACCAAACACTCGCTGTGAGCCTCCTCGCCACACCCCAAACACTCCAAACAAGCTGACACACAGGGCCGATCGGCCGGGCGACCAATATTAATCAGCCGGGAGAGCGACTCATGACATCGCTCTACAGAGCCTCAATATCACTGCCCTGGTGCGACGCAGGGAGACACTCTTCCCAGAAACTGACGGCCATATAACTCGATTAATCACGCACGCGCCGGACGGAGCCGCGCCAGGTGTACCACCGGCGAAAACGGGGCCAATCGGGTGCCATTGTCGGCCAGTGTCGCCGGCGACGGTCGACTCTGCCGACAGGTGGGCGCGGCGACGGCCGACGCCGGGCGAAAGTCGCCGTAACGCCGCATTGTGACCGGCGCCGGCAGCGTTTTCGTTTCGGCGGTCCCGGAAGTTTCCTGCTCTCATCGCGCGTGCACTTTCGCCGGCTGAATGGGTGACATATGTATCCTTTTTACAAGTCGCGAAGGCAGATGGGCGCTCGGAAATGCGGCACACTTCCGCGAAAACGACAATGGGCTATTCTCCAAGCCCAAACGTACTGCCAATCTTCTCAGTGGCACACCGACAAAAACTCCCCGAATTTCGAACAAAACCTTAATTGATTTTCAATTTGCGGTTTCCCTACCACCCAACGAGCCCACCTGCCAATGACAGCCACCGGAATCTCGCAGTCGGAGACACGCGAGCCCACCCCAATCCGCCCGTCCGCCACACACAGCCAGCGGCCGCAGCCCCAAGTAACAGCGGCATCCGACACAGTGCAGCGACACGATCGGAGCACCACCGGGGCCATCCAAAGCGCGGCAGGTTTCCGGGAACAATCGAACGAGTCAAACGGCCCGTACTCGACTCTAGGGCGCCGGTCGTCAGCGCGAGCGACCAGAGACCGTGCCGTACCCGGATTGCCAGGGATCGGGGTAATTCGACGGTCCCTTGGATAAATCCACTATATCTGACACCGGTGTCATAGTGAAACCAGGGGTCAGTGACAGGGGCCGCGTCAATGATGTGGTCGTATAAAAGGCATAGAGTTACCCAAGACCACACGACCATATTCCACAATGTATAAGCGCACCTTTGAGTCTCGATCATATCTCACAAATCCGTCTGTAATGATCCAACTCCCAAAATGTCCCGAGCACAAGCATATCCCACAGCATGCAGTACCGCAGTAGTGCATCATTCATACGCCTGACTACACATATGTGGGTGACGTATGCCCTTAACGGGAGCCGCAGCCCGCCACGGCCGTTGGTAGCGACTGCTACGCTTAACAGACTTCAGGCCTGACCGATACCCCACCTGTCGCCGGCGGCATACCGAGGTCAGCCCTTCAGCCGCACGTCCGTCACTCTCACGTCGACTGGCAAACAGGCCATTCAGCCGCCAACGCGGCGCAACCGAGCCCCGAATCAGACAGAAAACAGCCGACAGACGGACAGTGTACCGCGCTGAAAAATACACCACCCTCGCCGCCGTATGTGTCTGTGCGGTGTGCTGGATTACAGTTGCGTTTTGAACAAAGTAGTATTAGGGCTGCGTTCCGACAAAGGTGGTGGTTGGGGCTCTGAGCTGCGGCACGGATTATGTAAGGTTCAAGGAGCGGCTGTCAGCGTCGCGCCAGCTGTGGCCCCGTGCAATATGTATCCCCGAAGGTCTTATGAGCACTATAAGGCCAAAGCCTCACAAGGGTCGATTGTGTCCAAGACGCCATAAAACTCGGTCATTTGTCTGCTGATAGGGGTACCAGATTGAACAGGTAATGAAACGCGTGCACATTAAAAAATAGTTTGAACGGTTAACTGGAATGACTAGAGCTCGGTGCCTTCCAAGCGTAGCTTGTTGCGTGGCACCACGAACCGAACACTCAGCCACGCGACTCGCGCCCATTCATCAGTAGGTAAATGCAATAGCGCGAGCTAGCCTCAGAACTTGTGAGTGTTGGCATTGCCAATACATTCTTCAATCTTTGACATATCCCCCCAAGATACGTGGGTGGCATGCCGTGTCGACCCTCACGGATACATTCACGGATCATGACCAGAACTTCTGGCAACCTGGACTGAGTGGGCGTGACTAGCATTCCCAATACTTCCCTGAAAGCAATAAATGCGACAAAGCAATCAATGCTATACATGGGAGACAAAGCTCACTGGAGTTTCCCAAGAATCCTGGTCACCGCAGTATGAACATAGTTGGGAATTCCAAAGCGCACTCATTGCAATAACAAAGGTATCATAAATATTTTCGTTTAGAAAGTATTCAGAAAGTATGATCTAAATGTAAAGAAAAGCTGCAAAAATAAGAGCAATAAGTCATGTCTCAAGGGTCAATAATAAAATACAACCAGCCATGCGTCCCCCACCGCCATGTCTCTACGCGGAAGCCAGCCACATGTAATCGCTAGCTCACGCCCTCCCACACAGCGTATAGGTCCCGCCAGCGGCCACCGCCCACAACCAATCTCACCCGAGCCGGGAGTGGTTCGTTCAGTACCCAGATGGGCCCATTTACCTTTCTGATGCATTCCTCCTGACGCAGCTCGTACAGAAATTCCAGCATCGAGTCCCATCGATCAACATCCATGATATCCATGGCGGCGGCGGAAGGGGCAGCGGGGAGCTGTGACGTTACTCGGCACCTGTGACCGGTCGAACCGGGATGGACTGGCACAGGCTGGACTGGCGCTCGCACAGACAGACAGCAGTCGGGTTTGAACAGCGCTGAGCTGAGCTGAGCTGAGCTGATCCAGTCGGAGCCCAGCTGAGCCGGTAGAGCCGAGTGGGAGTCGCGGGCTGACGTGTTCACGACACACTCAGACCAGAGTCCAGTCGGCAGAGTCGAGTCACCCGTCCGAGACGCACACAGGATGAGCACTGACTGGAGACGGCGCTCGCTCGGCTCGGCCCGGGACAGCCGCCGTCGCCGCCGGGGACGGAGAGAGAGAGGTGCGTTCCACTGAGCCAGATCGGCGGGCCGACAGGTGCGGCACGTCGCGGCCCTCCGCCGCCGGCGGCACCGGCCAGACGCACCCACCCACCATCCGTCCATGGCCGCTCCTTCAGCCTCCATCACCAGCCCGAGGCACCGCCGAAATCATCTGCGCCAGCCATCCATTCAGACCTGCATGAATCACTGACACCCACCCTCCAATTCTTCGTGAGTTTAGAGCCTCAGCAGCAGTACGGGAGGAGAGACGTGAATCATCCCGAAAAGGGGAGAGGCCGATAGCCGAAGGCAAACAGATGGAAGGGCTTGAGTCTTTATTGCGCTGCAAGTACCACCTGAGATCAGAGCAGTGGTGATGAGATCCGGGTGTACGAAGAGGGTAGTAGCAGTTTTCCCATCAAGCTTAGGAGAAACGATACGAAGAAAGCACAGCTAAGGAGTCGAGAGATGGGACGTCTGTGCCTGGCACATTTCGGTCGGTCACGAGGGCACGGCCCCGGAGCTGGGCGAGAGCGCGCTGCGGCCACCCTGACAGGCAGTTCCGCCGGCGCCGATCGGTCGGTCGACGGGGTGGGCACGGCTCAAATCGAGCCGACCACGATCACCGCATTAGGAGCCGGTCGAACGTGACAGGCAGCGGCGCCGAACGCCGGCCGGTCGGACCGGTGAACAGAGAGGAACGGTCACAGGGACGGGTGAATAATGCCCCGTGAGACGGGCGAAACAAGTCAGCGGGAGGTGGGGAAGTCGGACGGCCCGGCGCGCGACTCGGTACCATCTGCTCGTGTGGAATCAGTCACAGCTGGACAGCGATATTCACGAGCAGCGGTACAGCGCTGGTGAAACTGGCGACGACCCAATGTGGCGCGGCGCACCCCACAGGGAGCCGACCGGACGCACCCTATCGCCGGGAATTATGCACCGCTGGAAAACAATAAAGCCTCTCCACTCATCACACATCTGGTGGTGCGCGCATCTGCCGTGTCCGGCTCATCGAGTATCTCCCTAGGAGCATACCGTCAGGGAGAAAACGCCGCTGCCGACGAGCGA